GATCCGCTCTGGCAGTCACCCCAGTTACTGTTACTGTAGAAGCTTCCGCCTTAGGGGCGTGACCCTCCTCCAATAGAGGTATGCGAGTCTTCCGCGTGATCATCTGTAACTCATCACGAGCCGGCTTCGATGCCGCCAGGTACTCCAGAATAGAGCACTGCATGGGTTGCCGAAGGACCCGCCTCAATGGCTCGACCGTGTCAATCTCGTCCAGCAAGCTCTTCATTAAGAACTTCTTCACTCCCCGCTTTCGCGGCGAAAGGATAACCTCCTCTCCATCGAMCCGCTGCCCGTCCTTCTCCGCCATCACGTAATCCGTATCAGTTTTCTTCGATGTAGACCCTCTCGCCGACTTGGTGGCTGTCACCTTTATGGGTGTGGTCGCCATGTCCCCCTCAAAGGTTATCTTGATGCTCTGGCCCCTAACCGGCTTCATTCCTTTACTCGTTTTTATTCTTCTTGCTTCGACATTCTCCTTCATCGAAGGGAACATCGATACATCTCCGAGATCATCAGCCCACTTGACGTACTTGCGGTCGTCAAGCACGACAAGTCTCTCTTCTATTGCCCGTTTAAGGTCCGGGAAACCCCTCTTAATATGATCTTCTCCTCTACAATAGACGCATGAGTTCCTGGGAGTAGACGCCCTATCGTCCGCGCCCCTAGACATCGATTTCCTGGCCGCGTTGGGGTCAGGCGACTTTGGATATGGTTCTGATGAGACACCATATCCCCCTCTCTCATTCCGACTGCGCGAATCGTTGCGCCGGTCTCCTCCAGACCCTCCTTGCTTATACTGCCCTCGCGAGTCATTCCGGCGGTCCCTCGAGTCATAGTGTCTTCGTGACTCATCACGTCTGCCCCCTCGGTTGTGCCATCCCCGCGACTCGTCGCGCTGCTCTCTCACTTCTCCCCCGTGCTCAAACCGTCCACGTGACCCTTCTTGTCGTTCCCAGTCCCGATCTCCTCTCTCATATCTACTTCCTCTGTAGCCATCTCGACCCGACCCCTCATATTTGTCATCCCTATATCCATCCCGGTCCGATCTCTCGTATCTGCCGTCCCTCTCCCATCGGCCGCGGGAGTCGCCTCTACCCCGATCGGCCTCATAGCGAGGGCTTCGGGGGTTATCATCTAGCCTCCTTGCTCGCACAAACGGCTCGCGGTCTCTGCGGTCTCGGTCTATCTCATCGTCCCTACATCGCCATGGCTCATCGTCTCTCTCTCTTCCTCTCGTTCGATAATCAGTCAGCGTCCGAGGATTTCTATCCTCGACACTCCTCCAGGGATCGTTGTTCCTACGGTCCCAGCGAAGTGAATAGGGCCCTCCAGGTTTGTCCCGGTAGGTCGTGGCCCCTGTAGCGGTCACAATCTCTGTAACCTGTCTCGTTAATCCCTTCACCATGTCCCGTATCTCCTTCACTTCCTCAGCCACGGCCTCATTCTTCTCCG